GGCACAAAAACAAACCAATGGAGGCCCCAGTAGAGTGCAATCAGATGAAGAGTTTATTAAGAACACACATGCAGGAAGAAGTACACAGCATCACATCAGCATAGGTCTTCTGCCCAAAAATACACAGAGAATGGTTTATATATCATCAGGGTTTGACGCCCCCTCATGCGTTGTATAACATATTTTTGTATTTCTAAGAACATCATTTCTATCTTGTACAGACAATGAGATGATTTTTAGAGCTAAGGTCAGACACAGAAGTTCCTCTTTCTAACATCTTTTCCCAAATATGGCGATGATTTCAGGCCCTGGAGGTCCCCGTGGACTTGTCCTCCTGTTGACCCATCTTCTGTCACCTGTTACTAAGTAAACTCAAATGGCACAGGTTGCAACAAGAAGCTGAATACATTCAGGCCTTCACTCAAGCCTGTTTCTAGATTATATGTACTATATGTGTTTTGTAAGTGTGTATGCAGTTTTAACCTTCTGTTGCTCTTAAGTCACCTACACAATAGATTGCCTGGACATTCGCGCCAAACAAAGCTTGAGACCTTTAATTGACTGAGCTTTAACTCTTTACTGAGCACAAAATGCAATGTGTATAAAATGGTCTTAGCTGTACCAGTAATAAAAAGGTTAATATAAAGTCAGCAGGTTTTAATAAACATCTTAATGCAGTATCAATACTATAGATTATATCATTAATGATGCAGAATATATTGTAGCCATAAAATAATTTCTTTAATTCCACAGTGGCAAATGCTGTGGCAACTGCTCAACACCTTTTTTTAGAAGTGGTTTATTTAACCCAGTGGTTCTTAACCTGGGTACGATCGAACCCTAGGGGTTCGGTGAGTCGGTCTCAGGGGTTTGGGCAGATCCTCCGCCGTGACATGCATGGCTCATTCTGTGCACCAGTAAAAAACATATCTACGTCTTGAATTTGAAAAAAATCATATTTTATTTTTCACTAAAGAGGGGTTCAGTGAATTCACATATGAAAACTGGTGGGGTTCGGTACCTCCAACAAGGTTAAGAACCACTGATTTAACCCTTTAAGATCTACCACAGAACCAAGTCCGCCAGAGCTCATATTATATTTTTACATGGTGTGGTGCCATTTCTGGGAGCATTTCAAGTTGCTATACATCAATATAACCCAAATTTTAATAATATGTATGCATTAAGTGCATAGTAATTACATAAATTCCAAAAACCGCAATAAACTACAAAAAAATTGAAAATCGTTTTTGTTTTTTTAACATATATTTCTAGTTAGAAAAATTTAAGAGGCTTATCCCTCAAAACTGTAAATACAAAAAAGTTGCACAAAACAGTTTCCCACCACAGGAAATTTATTTT